TATATGTATATACATACATACATACATACATACATACATACATACATACATACATACATACATATATACATACATACATACATATATACATACATACATACATACATATATACATACATACATACATACATATATATATATACATACATACATACATACATATATACATACATACATACATACATATTTACATACATACATACATACATATATACATACATACATACATACATATATACATACATACATACATATATACATACATACATACATACACACACACACAAACAGCACCTTTCTATCTAATCAAGATAGTCAAAGTTCTTTAAAATACAATCTGTGTCCTCATTTACCTCCAACACACACATTCATACAGCTCTCTACTAGATCTCTACAAAGATAATCTGAATCTGTAGAGATTAATCAGTGCTTTAAATCACATTCATACACTGAAGGGACACACATCAGAGACAATGAGGAGTTCATTGTCTTGCCCAGGACACTTCAGCATGTGATTGCTGGTGGAATCGAACCCTCAACTCTCCCATTGGAGGATGACTGCTCTAACCACTCAGCCACAGATGCCCCGTGTATATATTATAACATTTTTACAGATTATTTTTAACAACCTGCATCATATTCAAAAGGAATTTAGCCAAACAAAATTTAATTGGAATATAATTAAATGAAACGGACGTTAACCCTGAGGGTGCTCTGCACCTGGTGCACCCTGAGGTGCACCTTCAGGTACCTGGTGAGCGGTGAGCATCTCATCCATCATGCCTTCATGCCGAGGGGAGTAGTAGCTGTGGTGGGTGGGCGTGAAGGACCTGTCACAACTGGAGCACAGACGGAAAACAAGCTTTAAAACCAGAGATGGTCAGAAAACACTTACACTTGAATTTACCAATAAAAGCTGTTTCTATTCTATTCTATTCTATTCTATTCTATTCTATTCTATTTTATTCTAAAACAAAAGAAAGGCAGGAAATTGGGAAGCACAGGTTAAATTAGTTTACACTCTAAAGGTGATTATCTTTAACACAAATAGGAATTAACGTCCACCATCTGACATCATGAATTGATGTGGACAAAGGTTTGTTATTTCTGGCCCTGGAGATCTTGTTTTAATAAAAGTCACTCAGTCAAAACAAATAAAATTAGATTAAAGCTTTCACACACTGAGCCTGTGTGTGTTCATTAAATAAAGAGTTTGAAGCACTGTCACAGATAGGACCTGACAGGACACCCTCACTCCGTATTCTTTGTTTTGTTGCCTTACAACCTGGAATTTAAATGGGTTTTAATTCATTTATAAGTTGTAGCTCTACATAATTTAATCCAAATTTATAAACTTAAAAACTATTTATTTATTGTCTGGTGGGACTCCGGAGGCAGCTGGAGGACCAAGCAGTCTGCAGCCTTGGCTGTTGCTGAGGCAAAAGCTCGGATGTGGGAGGAGTTCTGTGAGGCCTTGGACAGAGAATCTCTGTCGGCTCCGAGTAGATTCTGGCGAACCATCAGGCGGCTGAGGAAGAGAAAGCAGAACTTTACTGTTGACCTCAACCAGTGATGTCGACGGGAGGTGGAAGGAATACTTCTTGGACCTTCTCAATCCCACCAGCATGTCTTTCATGGAGGCAGCTGAGTTGGGGGACTTTGGGGTTGGTCTGTCCATAAACGTGGCTGAGGTTGCTGAGGAAGTTAAAAAGCTCAGAGGCGGCAGGGCTCCGGGAGTGGATGAGATTCACCCTGATTTCCTTAAAGCTCTGGACATCGGGGGCAGTGCCACTGGATTGGCAGACTGGGGTGGTAGTCCCCCTCTTTAAAAAGGGGGACTGGATGGTGTGCTCCAATTACAGGGGCATCACTCTCCTTATCCTCTCTGGTAAGGTCTATTCAGGGGTACTGGAGAAGCAAGTTTGATTGTTGGTTAAACCTCAGATCCAGGAGGAACAGCCAGGCTGTGGAACACTGGATCAGCTCTTTACCCTCACTAAGGTCCTCGAGGAGTCATGGGAGTTTGCCCATCCAGTCTACATGTGTTTTGTGAACTTGGAGAAGGCATTTGACCGTGTTCCTCGGGGTACACTATGTGTGTGGGGGGAGGGGGGTGCTCCATGAGTATGGGATTGGGGGCCCATTATTATGGGCTGTTCGGTCCCTATACGGTGTGAGAGTTTGGTTCACATTGCCGGTAGTAAGTCGGACCCCTTCATGGTGGCAGTTGGACTCCTCCAGGGCTACCCATTGTCACAGATTCTGTTCATAACTTTTATGGACAGAATTTCTTCGTGCAGCCAGGGGGTGGAGGGAGTCCGGTTCGGTGGCCTCAGGATTCCATCTCTGCTCTTTGCAGATGATGTGGTCCTGTTGGCGTCATCGTGCCATGAACTTCATCTTTATATCTGTTGCTGCTGTTACATTTGAATTTCCCATCCATGGGACAATAAAGACTGTTTCTATTCTATTCTATTCTATTCTATTCTATTCTATTCTATTCTATTCTATTCTATTCTATTCTGTTCTTCAGCTCTCACTGGAGCGGTTCGCAGCCGAGTGTGAAGAAGCTGGGATGAGAATCAGCATCTCCAAATCTGAGGTCATGGTCCTCAGTGGAAAAGGGTGGATTGCTGTCTTCGGGTCGAGGGTGAGGTTTTTGGAGTTCAAGTATCTCGGGGGTTTGTTCATGATTGAGAGAAGAGTGCAGCATGAGATTGACAGAAGGATTGGTGCAGCATCTGCAGTATTGCGGACTTTGTGCCGATCCATTGTGGTGAAGAGGGAAAAACTCTCTGGCCAAGCTCTCTGTTTACCGGACAGTCTACATTCCTATCCTCACCTATGGTCACAAGCTCTGGGTAGTGACCGAAAGAATGAGATCCTGGATACAGGCAGTTGAAATGAGTTTCCTCTGCAGGGTAGCTGGACTCTCCATTAGAGACAGGGTGAGAAGTTCAGGTATCAGGAGAGACTCGGAGTAGAACTGTTGCTCCTTCACATCGAGAGGAGGCAGTTGAGGTGGTTTGAACTTCTGGTAAGGATGCTCCCTGGATGCCTCCCTAGGGAGGTGCTTCAGGCTGTCCGACTGGGAGGAGACCACAGGGAAGACCCAGGACACTCTGGAGAGACTACATCTCTTAATTGGCCTGGGAACACCTTGGAGTCCTCCCAGAAAAGCTGGAAGAGGTGCTGTGGAAAGAGATGTCTGGACCTCCTTGCTCAAGATGCTGCCCCCGAGACCTGACTTCAGAACAAGAGGAAGATGATGGATGGATGGATGGATGGATGGATGGATGGATGTTTCTGTGCTATGGGTTGTTGTTTCATATTGAAATGTATTTCATATCTTCAAAGTGGAAGTTAATGTGTTTGAACTAAAGGAAATAAAACTCAGTCCTTTTTAAATTTCAGATCATGAGGCAAACACAGAGAGAGGTGAATACTTCTTGTATTTATTGCTCAAGAGACAAATATTTGATAAGATAAAGAACCAGTAGCTAAATATATGATTCTACTTCCACAGTGAGACGTGCCCTCATGTCTTATTTACAGTACCAAGCCTCCATATTTGTCCTCACAAAGTATCTGTGTTCAGGACATACCTTTGCATTCGACTATGGAAAGATGAAAAGTGAGACCAACCATGGAGTGTGGAGAGGACAGGTTGCACAACACAAAAAACCACATGCACACAGTTAGTTCATTCGTGCTCAACATGACATTATGTGCAGAAGTCTTGATCCATCCCTCAATAACTAGTTTACTTCCAAAGATGCTTTAATCTTTTTAACTGGGTTCTGAGCAATTTTACTCCAAGTTTTCAAAGCTGTGATTGTTTTTGTAGGCCGGTCTTTGAGTCTGATCATTTTCAGGACATTTTGTCTTCTTTTATAAACTTTTTAACACTGGCTAATTAGAATTTGTAATTAAAGAAACAAACCAGTGTTCAGTTAAAACAAAACAGCTTAAATGTTCAAGCTACATATCTGCCAAAAGTAACATGTTGGAAAATGATAAAATAGGATTTAAACAACATGGGGTTTCTCAAAGAAGGTGTTAGCTGAAAATCATTCATACTAGTAGAGCGGATAATAGAAAATGCAAGCAAATTGAAAAACAAGCACCAAGTTCGGTGTGACGGTTTTCTTTAAGGTCAAATCTGCCTGATGGGTCATTTGAAAGATGAAGGCCTTTTTTCAAGATGGATGCCAAATTGAGCTTATTTCTGCACAATAATCATAATGCAATTACTTGAACAATTTATGTGTTAATGTATATGTTGTCCTCTGTCAGTAGCCTGGTACTGTACACGTAACTCACATTATTAAATAGTTTTTGGTGACCATTCATGTAGAATTCTTAAGATTACTCCTGGGTACATCCATGCCAAATTTGGCACTTGTGTCACATTTTGCACAATTCTTGTGCAACATTTGTTATAGCTGCTTCACTCTAACATTACATACCAGTAGATGAAAATAATAATAATGATGCATTTTTCAGATCCCCATAAGGGATTTTCTGTCTTTCTAATTTCTTAAGTTCACAACTTTACATAATGTTCAACTACTGCAGATTGTTTTAAATGTCAGACTAATTCTGCTTCCTCTGATGGTTCATTTAAAGCAGGGGCGCCCTCGCTTTTTCAGCCTGCAAGCTCCTTTAAAAATGACCAAGTCAAAGTGATCAACCTACTATAAGGCCCCGTTTCCATGAGAACACCCTCTGGAAATGTTAATGTTTTTTTTTTCAATGTTTATTATGAGCAGATTTACATGAAAACGCTGTATTTCGATGTCTGTTGGGTTGCCAGATAAGAAATGATGAACTATAATAATGTGGCTTTCAAATGATAGTATTTTGACCTAAACTGTCATATGTTCTGAGTAAAGATATTCTAAGATGAGGTGTGTGTTGTGTTTATTGAACGTGCACAGAAAAGGAGGAGGTAAATAAAACATTTTAAATTTATCTGGCAACCCTGATGCTGGGCTCAGCTGCATTCATTGTGCATGCAGCATCTGCATGATCACATTTAGCCCAAACTGGTGAATACATCAACAACTCTTTGGAGCCTGGATTTTATCAGTTTTGCTCCTACATGCTGAAAAAGAGTGAGCAGCACAAAAACACTCTGCTCTCTGCCATTTATTTTAACTGTTGTTATTTATTATAACGGTTGTTATTTATTATAACTGTTGTTATTTATTATAACTGTTGATAGTGCCGAAAAATTTGGACTGCAGCTGCCTGGAGTGCATGTGCCACTTCCCTCTTGGAGCATTTCACACCTCTATGGGGGTTCCCTTGAATATCTCCAATCTGACCTGGATTCAGAAACCTTCATGAGGCTGTTGTCTGTAAATGAACAGCCGGACGTTTCATGTTGTGTAAACGGGGCCTCAGTCTGGCTGTCCTGTCTGTCAATCCAGAGACAAATTTCACAGATGGATGATCGGCTGACGTCCGTTTTTTTAATGCCATGTGCCCATAATACCTTTGAGATCAACCGGTAAATCATGATCGACGTACTGGGCACCACTGCTCTAAAGGAATTTAAAGACTTGAACACTGTGTCATGATGAATGAGTTCAACAAGGTTAAAATAATTATTATCTTGTACATATTAAATTTGTCTGGCTTTTAATGGGCAATATATTTGAAAAATGATGGGTGGCTGAAGACCCGTCCACTGCACTGTGTGTTCAACCAACAACACTTTCCTGCATATGAGAGTAGTTGGACTGAACGAGTCAATGGATGGAGACACATCAGTAGATTAAAATTAATCTCTAGATAACAAAGTGTTTATGTAAATGTCATGAAGTACTGTCACCCTCTTTGTATCTGTATCTGTTCACAGTGAACCTTTAGCTGAAGGTACATTTACTATAGGTTGATGTTGTTCCATGTTCAGCCACGTTGAGGTGAACTCTGTACCTGTCAGTGCGTCCACCTTCCAGGCTGAAGCGGAGGTAGTTCATTCCTTCCAGGTACTGTCCTGGAAGGGAATCATCTCCCAGCTCTCTGAGGTCCTCGGCTCTCAAATACTCCCCTCCATCACCGGTCATTGTGTCATCGCCTTCAATGAGAAAACAAGTGGAGGGAAAAACCTTGAAAATGCAACAAAATCAACTTTTTAATCAAGTGATCCTTAATCAGACAACAGATTATCTGCTTTAATTGATACTTTGCACACCAACATTCAAATTTACCAAGAGATTCTTGAGATTGAGATTATTTTGCTGGTGAAAAATTAGGATTTAAGGCAGGGCTTTTCAACTAAATTGCTCAGGGGGCCACAGTTACGGACAGCCAAGAGCTCAGGGGCCGGACATCCAGCAGTTATTGTCATTAAGTTTGCTTTACAGTTTAAAATCTAGTTTTATTTAAAACTGAACCCACTGGTGGGTTGAACTGAGCTCACCTGGGGACGCCAGTTGAATAGCCCTGATTTAGGGGGTTCCCCTAATTCAAAAACCCCTCACCAACGAAGAAGTGACACAAAACACAAATTAGTTGCAGTTCCATTAATAAGTGTATAAATGGACAGCCCTGGTCAAACACAGCCACATCAGCTGAGTTCTGCGTGCGTGTTAATGCTCCAACCATCCCTAAACGTTCCAACAGGGCCACCGCCAGAAGGAAAAGCAGTCGGGTGGTTTCTAAATAAAACACCAGCCGCAGCTCATCTCCGTGCACGACACTCTTTTAGGAATTAAAACAACAAGCACCGAGCTGAATACCTTGTGTGCTGTCGTCTGACAAAACGTCTTCATCGATGATGTTCCATGCTGCAGTCGGAGAGTTCAGTCACTCACTGCTTAATAATCTCTGAATATGCTCAAGAGGTGGCAGCAAACACTCAGACAGGTGTATATGTGCTCACTTGTTGTGCTTAGGCTGATCACATGTTTCTGTTCAGGCGGCTCTCGATCACTAAATGTTTTTGAACTGTCTCCAGTAGTTTGATCATGCAAAGTGTTTCCAGACAAACAGTAACAGTTTTAGATGAGGCTGGTGGAACCAAATATTCTGTTTTTATGTTTTGTTTCATGAAGGCTTTGCATCTCTTCTTAAGTCCATGTTGACCAGATCTGATCTTGGAAAAATAGTCCATTCCTTCATTCCAACCCGACCTGATTATTGTAACACGCTTTATGTTGGGGTCAGCCAGGTCTCCTTTCACATCTCCAGCTTGTCCAAAATGCTGCAGCTCGGCTCTTAACAGGAACTTGTAGGTTTGATCCTATCTCACCAGTTCTGTCCTCCCTTCACTGGCTCCCTGTACATGTCAGAATAGATTTTAAAATTCTCCTGTGGACCTTTAAGTGCATTAATGTCCGTGCACCCTCATATCGCTCTGAGCTACTTCAACCATATGATTCTTCTCGGGCGCTGAGATCATCTGATCAGCTGCACTGTAATAAGTGACACCATTTTTCCTTTAATTACTGCAGTTGATTTTATTGTTAAGCTCTTTGTTAACAACTGCTGTTATTAAATGTGCTTCATAAATAAATTTGACTTGACTCATGTTGAGCTCTCAAATGTAAGACGACTCACCCTCTTCGTCAGAGACGTCCAGCACCTCAGTCATGGTCTCTGGTACGTTCAGCTTGTGTTTCTCTGTCACCGTCTGGCAACAAGAGACTGCACGTTAGTCACAGAACAACCACGAGGCCCTGAGCCCAGCACCAACAGGAAATATTACAGTAGAAAAGTGGATTTGTTTCCGAATCAGCTGGTCTGAGGTGTAATTGGTTTACATGGGAGTGATTTGATTTGAATGGAATGAATGGGACTGATCTGGATTTAATTGAACTGAATTTAAAATTTGGCACTGGATAATATCATAAACCCACATTTTATTCACAATGTAATGCAGTTACAAGTGTTTAAATTACCAATTGGGCCATTTTAGAAAAAAAATAAAATAAAACAACTTTCAATTTGATCACATCTCTTTAAAGTAGCTACAGGTTCATGCTTCCTCTTTGAAGCTTCACATCATCTTCTGACAATGTTCAGTCAGATCACCTGGATGAGATGACCTGACTGAACACTGTTGGATTTTTACCTGGATTATTGAGCATGGACTTTGGATAATTTATTTATGTTTTTACTTTAAAAATCTCAGGGAAATTCAAGCAGAAAGATTACAAGTAAAGGAAAACACAACACAGAATCCTCTAAGCCATAATTATATCTTTAAATAGTTATCTTAAAAGCCCTGCTAAAACCCCTTCAGAACAACCTTGAACAATCCCTTAAACCTTTTTTTTTGGAAAAGTTCTAAAAAAGCTAAAAACACAACAAGGCATCCGCAGTTTCCAGAAATAATTTACAGTTTTGATCCGTCTGTCCACAGAATAGCTTTACTCCTCGCTTCAGTCATAAATAACCAGAGTGGACAGCAGCCCTTCTGGACGGGCTTTATGTTCCCGGGCAGCTCCTTCTTTGCATGATAGAGCTTTAAACCAGTATTTGTGAACAGCACAATGAGCTGCAATTCAAGGTTCAAGGTTCTTTATTGTCATTTACATCACTAGAGGTGCATGAGGTGGAAGGAAAGTATGTCCATAGGGTCACAGTTACACCCAAAAATAGCAAAAATATAAAGTATAAAAAGAAACAGTATGTCTAAGATATATGCTAAATGAATGCTAAACGATACACTAACAGATCTGAGATATAAACTAAAGTTACAGACAGTGATTTGTAGAAGTGTTATCAGAATAAGAACTGTTTTAATTCAGCTTTTAGTGGAAGTTTTTGCAGATTGGTGAACCCCTGCCTGTTTTTACTTCTGAGAAATTCAGCCTCTAAAATGTTCTTTTCAGAGCCAGTTCTATCGACCTGCTGCTAATTACCCAAGATGGAAAATGTTGCTCCAACTCTTTCTTATTTGCAGCATTTAGTGACCTCAGGTTTAACTTTTGTTTCCCATGTCCTATGTTTCCTATGTTCCATAGTAAATAAAATGCTGGTTTATGAGATTTACAAAACAATGCATTCTGTTTGTATTTACATTTTACACATCCTGTTTGGGTTTTCAGAAATGAGTTTGTGAATGAATGAGAATAAATAAGGAAAAACTACTTTATTTATTTCGTAAGAGTGAAATTTTGAGGTATTACTTTGTTTTGCTGCAGCTGCATCGTGGTGAGTTGGTTAGCACTGTTGACTCGCAGCAACAAAGTTGTGGTTTGGAAACATTTTGGAGTGAAGTTTGCATGTTCTCCTTGTCCATCATAGGCATCACAACAATTATATGTGATGGGGACGTGTCCCCCTCATGTTAAAAAATACTCATTTAGAAACACCTCCCCCCCCCCCCACACACACACACACATTTACCATGAAATATTAGTTCACCCAGCAAAGTTTCTATTTCTCCATGAACAAATCCATTCCACTTGATTAATAGGAGAATACTCAAACCACTAAGAGTCCACTCCGGGTTTTCCTGGTTACCTACAACAACTCACCACCCAAGGTCACTTGGCTTGGCAGGGCGCTCATCTCTTCTGGGCTTTGTTGTCGACGGGGTGGGGGAGGAGGAGGCGACACCTCAGTGATGATCTACTACATTAGTGCCAGCAGTTGTCGACTGGGAGGGGGTGGCATTGTGCCATGATTCTCTCTAAAATAGTTACTGAATCAAGTGTTTACTTACGTAGGTAAACGTAGATGTTTAACAACCCGTTAAAATACACCAGATCATAGGAGGTGTCTGGACCTCCAGACCCCTCTCCCCACCAATGTGCCCCCGTCCCCACACACATTGCAAATGCTTTTGACGCTATTGTCATCCATAACTGGGTTTTCTCATCATTATTCTCACTCAGCCCAATAACCATGCATGTAAGGTGATTGGAAATGGTCCACAGGTGTAACTGTATGCATGAACAGCTGTTAGTTTCTCTGTGGCCCCTTAACACACTGGTGACCTGTCTATGGGGTCCACCCTACATCCTACATCACACTGTGGGCACCACAGCTGTCTCTGTTGGTTTGCTAACACTCCGCAGTATTTTCTGAGTAAACGGTGTAAGGTGTTCAAGTAACAATGAACACAGAGGTGTTTGAACGCAGCATGCCTGGGTTTGTGACGTACTGTTGTTGTGGTAATAATCTCCTCAGTGACGACCCTCAGAGTGTCCACCACAGAGATGTAGCCCAGTCTCCGGGCAATACCCAGTGCCGTGTTACCATTCTGGACAAAGACAGGTGGTCATTAGCTGTGTGTCCTTACATGTGAATGTGTGTGAATGTGATTTTACGCACCACAGTAATAGCGTTGGGTTTGGCTCCGTACTGCAACAGAACATTAATGATATGTGTGTTTCCTTGCTGGGCTGCCTGGTGAAGGGAAGTGTATCCATTCTGGGAGAACAAAATACATGTTTGGTTTAGAATATAACTTTTTTTGTTTAGCAATTCAAGTTTAATGAATGAACTGACAATGATCAGTACAAAGTAAATCAGTACCTTGGTCTTGGCATTGACACTGGCTCCATTCTGAAGCAGGAAGTTGACCATCTTGGCATTGCCATAGTGACATGCTACAATTAGAGGACTGTATCCCAGCTGTAAAACAACAATAAATATGTTTTAATTCACCAAACAGGAACAATATGAAGCACCAAGCAACCAACCATTTACACAGAAATATTTAAAAAATACTGTCCATTTGCTGAAACCTTCAGTAGAAGAAGCTCAAAAATCTTGTACAGAAAAGCTGGATGTTTAAACTTAATGCTCATTCTACCTTGGTCTGTTGGTCCAGGTTGGCACCGTTCTTGGTGAGGATCTCAGCAACACACACTTTATCCTCCTGGGCTGCCAGGTGGAGCGCAGTCAGGCCGCTCTGCGAACGGAAGCATAGCAATGATGTAAGGAAGTGACATGTGGAAACCTTTCACTTGCAGGTTTGGTCTCCCTGTTACCTTGGTGGGGACATTGATCTGTGCTCCCTTACTGATGAGCAGGGCAGTCATGTCTGCGTGACCCTCCTGGGAGGCCAGATGGAGAGGAGTGACACCCTGCTTGGTCAGGATGTTGGTGTCTGCACCATACTGCAGCAACACTGTGGCAATGTCCATCTGGTTCTTCTTAGATGCGATGTGCAGAGGAGTGTAGCCGTTCTAATGTGAGAGGGACAAACTTTGATGATAGGGCTGTGAACCTGGTGCTGACTGGAAAAGAGTTCAATAGATGCTAAATCAGCAGTGACTCCATCCCTTTGATGTGTTTTTTGTGCCATGGAGCTCCTTGAAAACACATTTTCTGGAGTGGTACAAAATGTGAACAGTTTGAGAACTACTATTGATAACCATATAAAAATAAAGTTCAGTGTGTGGAGAGAGTCACTGTTGGGCTGAAGGTCTCAGGTTTTCTAGGTCATTTTGATTCAAGTCAGTCTCTCACTGGGCTGCAACTTCTGGAAACTCCATCCATTATTTTTGACCCTCTTCTTCCTTTTTGGGTTTACGGGGGTCACTGGTGCCCACATCCAGCAGTCACTGTGCAAGAGGTGGGGGACACCCTGCACAGGTCTTGAGTCCATCACAGGGCCACATAGAGACAAACGAGACAAACAACCATTCACTTTCTCACTCACACCTAGGGACAATTTAGAGTCACCAATCAGCCTAACATGTATGTTTTTGGTCTGTGGGAGGAAACCGGAGTACCCGGAGAAAACACATGCAGCACGGATAGAACATGCAAACTCCACCCAGAAAGGCCTCTAGCCAGGATTCGATCTGATGACCTTCTCGCTGAGAGGCGGCAGCTCTGCCAACTGAGCCACCGTGCTGCGAGCCACTGCTGCCAGTGTTTTCCCCTACATCGCTTGCAAGTCGCTGATCACTTCCACAATTGGGGGGTGATACCTCTGTATCATTTTACCTAGTGCATCTGTATTTTGCATCGCTAGCTTAGCACTATGTCAGTGCTGGCAATTGTTGACCCGGGGGGGGGGGGCGGGTGTTGACAGGTACTCTGTTCTGTTGACAGGGTGGGAGCCATGCTTGTATAATGGTAGGGGAAACACTGTGCTAGGCCTGTCACAATAACAAATTTTGCTGGGCAATTAATTGTCTCAGAAATTATTGCGATAAATGATAATATTGTTTGAAATTTGACAATAATTAGTAATTATTGTCAAATTTAAGAAGAAATGTTTATTAATTTTTGTGTGTAGTACCTTTTTTGACCATTGGATGGCAGTAAAAGAGTGTTTGAACCGAAGAATGGATAGTGAGGGAGCGAGCAGCGTGTCTCTTTAAGAAAAATGGGAGGGAGGCCCTTTGACGTGACATGGGCTGTCTCTCCTTCCTGATTTTCAGTTCTCAAAATGGCTGATGCTAGGTGTGGTTTGAGCTCTTTAGCATAGCATTTTCTACACGAAGCTTTTAATAAAAAAAAATCAGTAACCAAGTTCTCAGCTTCTTTTTGCAGAAAAAAACAACTTTTTACACAAAGGCATGGGTTTCAACAGTGAATTTTGGAGCTTTGACAAGACAGAGGTTTTTTTCCCCGAGGTCGGCCTGTTAGCTTAGCTCATAGCTTAGCTTCTCAGCTTAGCTGTTTTTAATGATCCAAAAACGTGATTTTGGATGGTTAAAACAGATTTTAAAGAGAAAGGGAGGAGTCACTGAAGAGCACCAGAGTTGAGCTTTTTGTCATCCAAGCTTTTTGTCATCCATTGTCTTCAGTAGAAAGAGAAAGACATGAAAAAACGATAAAGCTAATAAATGAAAATGAGGTTGATAATTTTCATTTATCATGCGATTAAGTGATTTATTGTTTATTAAGACAAGCCTACACTGTGCCATATTCTGGAAACTCAAAATTGTAAAGAAAATTAAGAAAAAGGGATGGATTTCAGTTGCAGTTTCACTGAATTCTGAATGTTTGTGACTAAGCAGCCAGTGAACCGTGCAGCCCCATTTTACACGGTGGATTTTAAAAATTTACTGTCTGTTTTTGTGTGCACGGTTTGTACCATTATATTCTACATCATGCACAGCATTTTGTTGCTCACAACCACAAACACAGTATATACCTTGGAAGCTACCCCAACAGTTATGATTTGATCTACTGCAGTACAATTTTGACTTGAAGACCAGCAGACCTTGTTTTCAGACCTGGACGTTCCATGCAGAAGCCTCTGAGGGTTCTGTCTACAGGAGAGCTCCTGTACAGGCGTCAACATTCAGCTGTGGTGCTGTAGATCGCTGTTCACCAACTGCTTTCCACAATTTCCAGCCCATTGAGATACTGGCATTATCTGACCACTACTGGTAAATGTGTAAATATTGTTTGTTTGTTGTTTAAATCTGAGGCCATGGCCTCAGTTGGAAAAGGGTGGATTGCTCTCTTCGGGTCGAGGTCCTGCCTCAAGTGGAGGAGTTCAAGTACCTCGGAGTTTTGTTCACGAGTGAGGGGAGAATGGAGCGTGAGAATGACGGATTGGTGCAGTGTTTTCAGTATTTTAGCCTCTGGGCCAGTCTGTCGTGATGATGAGGGAGCTGAGCTGTAAGGCAAAGCTCTCTGTTTACTGGTCAGTCTACGTTCCTATCCTCACCTATGGTCATGAACTCTGGGTAGTGACTGAAAGAATGAGATTGCGTATACAGGCGGTTGAAATGAGTTTCCTCTGCAGGGTAGCTGGACTCTCCCTTAGAAATAGGGTGAGAAGTTTAGTTATCCGGGAGAGACTTGGGATAGAACCGCTGCTCCTCCACATCGAAAGGAGCCATTTGAGGTGGTTGGAGCATCTGTATGGATGCCCCCTGGGCACCTCCCTAAGGAGGTGCTTCGGGCATGTCTGTTTGGAAGGAGACTCTGGGGAAGACCCAGGACACTCTGGAGAGACTATGTCTCTCAGTTGGCCTGGGAACTCCTTGGAGTCCTACCAGAAGAGCTGGAAGAGGTGGCTGTGGAAAGCGATGTCTGGACCTCCCTGCTCAAGATGCTGCCCCCGAGACCTGACTTTGGAACAAGAGGAACATGATGGATGGCTGTTTTTTAAGAGTATTCAGATCGATGTAGACATCTTTTAAATAACCCATCAGTTATAGTTTAAATGCAGCCTCCTACAGACTCATTACTGCATTCAGAAGTGAAATATTTGTCTTTTAACTGAAAACCTGAAAAGACAGATCCTCATCCTGAGCTGAGCACTTCAGACACTCACCTTAGCTGTTGTGTGTGGCGACGCTCCTTTGTCCAACAGCAGGAGCGCCACCTTCTGGTTATCGTAATGAGCTGCGACATGAAGAGGGGTGAGGCCGTTCTGTTGGGGGGAGCAGAGGTGGATTAAATGGCAGTTAGTGAAGCAGGGAGGTGTGAACTTCCATCCCATAGCAAAACGCATATTAAGATGTCAAGTAAAAAGGATGACTGAGTCATTACTGAAAGGTGTGGAGTCTGAAAAGCACTGAAAGAGACGTTTGAACTAGAGTCTGACCGATATATCAGTAGGGCCAATAATTTAGGCTAGGCTGATATAGATGTTTGGGGGGCATATCTGTATCAATGATAACGGTCCAATTATGTGCCAATATAAACACTTATACAATTTTCACTCCTAAAATACTGGAACCAGCCGTAATTGTACAACGTATCAGCAGAGGGCACATGAAGACTACTTTCAAGTCATGACCGTTTACTTAAGTTTCACTTTCACATTCAGCAAAGACAAAGCAGGGAGAAATACCATGCGCGTAGCCAGGGGGGGTTCGGGGGGTTCGAACGAACCGCCCACTTTGCCAATGAAGTCCCACCTACAACTCCCGCGAGATATAGAACACATTGACCTTGACAGAGTTGTTGATGTGTTTGCAAACAAACACTCGAGGAGGATGGAGCTGGACTCACTTGTCTATCCAGAGATATAAGATGTTGGACAAAACTGTCTTATGCATTGTAAAAAAAAAAGGTTTTGCAAAACTACATTTGTCTTGAGAAATTTTAATCTTACTCTATAGTGTCATTTTTTTATGTGTAGATGTGGATTGTATTGTATTTTTCAATTCATTAATTTCATTCATAAAAAACAATGTCTAACAAAGCAAAGTAAAAAGATGAGTTATTTTTGCAATTGAAGTAATGTTATTATTTGCGGGCTTAGTTTGCATTTATGTTGTTAGAGTTAAGGAGTGGTACTGTGCCTTTAAGAGGATGACGTCTTTCATTCTTCTTCGGTGTTTTTTTTTTTTTTTTGTGTATGTTCGGGCGGGACTCGGGAGTACCGAAGTGTTCGTTCGTGTCTGGGATGAGTTCTGAATAGAAGACTGGACACACACACGCTATTCCCCTCTCAGTGTGTTGCTCTTTCTCCACTCACAACCGCCTATTTGGTAACACAGATTTACCTCACACAGCAGTGTTTTAACTAGCTAGCTAATTAGCTTGTTTACACATTTGAAGTTATGTGTACCACCGCCAATGAACCAATCAGAGTAGTCCTACAGGTCCACTTTTTCTTCAAACGAACCGCCCCTCATAAAATCCTGGCTACGCCTATGAATACTGTGTTGCGTATCCTGATGCATGCTCAATAATCCAGGTAGAAAAATCTAAAAAAGTTAAATCTGGTCCTCTGGACATTCAAAAAAACAAAACAAAGCAAATCAACAAAAAAATGTAGAAAAGTTT